CGCATTCTGTTAACGTTTCTTTTGTGTTATTTGCACTCGTTTAATCAGCAAATGTATCGGCAAAACCTGACGTCGCGTGAGAAGCAAAAATTGTTATCGACTTCGATATTTTGCCAGATAATTTATTAACGACTAATAACACGGCCGATACCTGTCGTTAATTAACAAATTATTTTTGCAAAATTGAAATTTCTAGACACCTACTTCCACAATAAAGATCACTTTAATCACTAACTCTTGTGACTACAACTTTCTCACCACCGATTTCAGAAAGGACTACGCTAATCATATGCACATTAGAACCAATCTCACCACCAGACTCAACATAACCTCTTATTAAATCAAATTAATACGATTACAATAAATATAATACACTTCAACATGCAATACTATAATACACAATATTTAAAGTAAAACATCAACACAATAATAAATAACACAACAGAAGAACAATTATTGACGCCAAATTCGAATTCACGAAATCGAAAGTGCATCGTATTCAAATTCAAATTTCATTTCGTCTAGGCAAAAAATAACATATAATTCATTACTAAGGATTTGATTAAGGACTGTCCCCTCTTTGGAGAGGTAATTCACTTTTATGAAGGTGTGCCATAAAAATGAACGACAACGATAAGCGTTGCGTTTCGTGACTTGTCACAAATCTCATGCCAAGTTCCTCAAGGGTGAACGATACACGAAAAAAAACGAGTGGATGATTTTCGTGAGTTTCTAGATCTCGCGTGCGACGCGTCACGAGAGTCTGAGAGAAAAATGACTATGTGGGAAGAGAAGGGTGGGGTCACGTGAAGAATGTGAGATGTACGTGGGCACGATGGGTGTTCAAGGTGCGGCGCGTCGCATGCGACCTCGAACCTCTCGATCACCCATATTGACACTGCGTCAGACACGTGTCATAGATCATTGTTTATCGCGGTTTAAAATATAATAATCTACTTTTTTTTTTAAAAGTAGAATTTTAAGAATTAATAAGAATTGTTTAAATGTTATTTTTTCATTGTTCACGAAGATGAATGAAAAAATTGACAAGGATTTGTTCTGTCGTGTAAATTACACAATACAGACGTAACAAAGCTGTCTGACCATTAAACGAAGTATCTACTTGCCCCTAATATATGACTTTCCGTGATTTCGTGGATTTGTGTGGCGGACAGAAACACGACATCCCTGTTATCGAGTTGAACAGACATTAAAATGGACTTATAGAGTTCGATACAGGCGCGGTTCGAGACCAGAGGATGACCAGGTTGTCTCCTATCGACACGATGTCAGTGCCTTCGAAACCCATCGACTCTAGTTCATCAGTGTTCACTTCCGTCTGTCTTTCAACTCAATCAGTGTCCTCTTTCAGCTCTTATAACAAAGTTTCACCACTTTTATCTATTTTCAATTCTTCCATATTTGAAGAATAATTCTTTTCCTGTGTTACAGAGGCAAGTCGCTAATTCTGCAACTTTTATACAAAAATCTTTCATAATCTTCATCCAATATTTGCCTATAATTTTCTTAAATTTGACATCTTTCTTTATTTCACACAGACAAATTTTACTTTCTTTTCGCGTCTCTCCTGTATTACAGAGGCAAACTTTTCATATAAAAGAATTTCATAATTTTTATTTTATACTTTTCCATATTTAAAACTTTTCCTTTTACAAAGATTAAATATTAGTTTCTTTCCTTTAACTAATAGTCACTCTTTGTTTATATAAAAAAGTTTCATAATTCTTATCTAATCTTCACTTTAACCTTTCCATTTACTAAAGTAAAATGTCAGTTTCTTTCTTCTGACAAAATTAGTCACTTCATCTAACGAGAAGCTTGATTAAAGACAAACCTCGTTGCAGGGATGTAGAATTAAGTAGAAACTGCAGTTCTAAAATCCAGTTCAATGTTATCATTCGATGCTCAATCGCTCCTGCGCACATACGTTGCACGTGTAGCGTGACGATAGATGATTTACGGCCAAGATTCATGCAACTAATTGCTGCTTGCTTTTGCCTTCTGTCGTAGGTGGAACCTTCTTCTCCGCAGCCGTCGTTCGACCGACTGTCAGTTAGCTTCGCGAACAACCAGGACGACGTTCAGGCCAATCAGAGGGAGGAGAATTGTTTAAACAAAGTGAAGAAACACGAGGGGAATCCCAACGACATGCAGAGAATATCCATAGCTGGTTTGTATCTGTAAATCGAACGAATTATCAATTAAATACGCGTTCTGTTAGCTTACTCGAAAAATTAGTATAAAATCATAAATGAATCTACTTTTAAGTATCTTTTTTTTATATCACGTTTTTTTAATATTTCTAAAAAAATACCGGAGTGTTTTTGATAAATCTTCGTAGAGGTTCATTTTGCAGAGTTAAGAGTGAAATTTGTGTGGAGTTTCAGAAGAGGAAGGCGACGAAGATGAATACTCCGCTTCAGCGTGCGAGATCATGCAACGACGGAGTTCCGGTCGACGACAAAGTAGACGGAAGCGTCGTCCGTCCTCGCCTTTCAGCGTCGAAGCTGAAGCAAACCTTCGCCGACGATCTTCCGTTTACACTATTAGCTCTGGAGAGTCAGTATATCTTCTTCTCACTAAATTAACCCTTTTTGTAATTTTCTTCACTCTTGTCAGATGTGCAAATTGATTGTGTGTCTTTTTTCACAAACTCCAATGTCACACTGCAAAAATAATAGAGATTATTTCGATTTTTTTCCCCTAATATTTGAGAGTCAATATCTCAAAAATTAAAGAATCTATCTCTACCATTCGGAAACATTTATGCAGTATATAAAACGTTCTTTCCAACTTTCCAACTTATTTCATTTGTTTTCTGCGAATCAATAAACTCCAGAGTTCGTTGACAAAAACGGAATTAAAGAAAAAATTAAAGAAATTGTAGAGAGAGAAATTAAAAATTGAGTAAAATTAAAAATAAAAATCAGGTGTTTCTAATGATTGACACGGAGGAAAATTGAAATTGCGTTTCGAAAAAATGTGCACAGGACCGCAATCTCCGTAGATGAAAGCGGAAGTCAGGAGCAGATATTCGAGAAGTTGAAGCTGCACAAGGAAGTGTTGAGCGGTGTGAAGCAACAACCTTGGCCACTTCGTAGGAAGATTAAATTGGTAGGGCAGGCGAAATCATACGTTAGGAGGCATGAAGGTGTTCTTCAGGAGAGATTGGCTCAAACTCGAAGCACCAAAGACGCCATTGCGAGGGTCTCGCTTTTCATCGCGAAAGTAATTACTGAAGAAAAATTTTGGTATGGTTATGAACATATTATATACGGTGTATTGATAGTATCTTATGAAGTAGAAATGGCAATACTGTCGGAGGGAAATGGTGAACCTTCAAACATGGCTGGTTCCATGGGAATTTCGTATAAAGGAGATTGAATCTCACTTCGGCTCTGCTGTGGCTTCTTACTTCACTTTTCTTCGATGGCTGTTTTGGATTAATCTCGTCGTCGCTGCTATTCTTACCACTTTTGTGGCAATTCCAGAGGTATGATCAATTTTCAGACTGAGTAACTATCTTCCTAGAATTTTTATCAAGGTAACAGTAAAGTATTTACAAACCGAAACGTTATTTGCAATTTAAGCTCAATTTCTTTTGTTCTATCACATGAAACGTTATGAAAAAAATTAGGTATGCTACAACCAGTGAGATGCATGTCTAAGAATTTTTTCAGATTTTTTGGCTGCAAGATTGAATTATAAAAAATTGTCGATCTTTCATCAAAGTTATGATTATTAATTTAAAATTTTTTCTCGTTAATTCCACGTAAAAGTGGTTGCCCGTGGTTTCTTATTTGCCAATTTGTTGCTTTTTTCTTCTACAACAGATGCTCACCGCTGACCCGACAGCAGCTGGAGAACGGAAGATTATGCTAAGAGAAGAGAAGATCAAATCGAAACACCTATTAACTCTGTGGGAATTCGAGGGAGTTCTGAAGTATTCCCCGTTCTTCTACGGTTGGTACACGAACCAAGACTCGCAAAGTGGTTACAGATTGCCTCTTGCTTACTTCGTGACCAATTTAGTCGTCTACATCTACAGTTTCGTCGCGATACTACGGAAGTAATGAATTCACAGACAGCAATATCAATTTCCACGAATCTTCGAGCGCTGTTCATAGAACACTGTCAATTTTCTTAGAATGGCAGAGAATTCTCGGCTGAGCAAACTCACGGAGAAAGAGGACGAATGCGTGTTTTCTTGGAAATTATTCACAGGATGGGACTTTATGATTGGTAATCCTGAGACCGCTCACAATAGAACGGCCAGCATCGTTCTTGGATTTAAGGAAGCTCTACTGGAGGAAGCTGAAAGGGAAAAAGACGATAAAATGTGAGATTGTTTGAAGAAAATTCTCATTTGAATTTTATCTATCCAAAAATTTTTCTAAAATTATTACATTTCACTTAGCAATATTTATTCTCGTTTTTCCAAAAACTTCTACAGTTCAATACACGCGTATATTATTAAGTTTAAAACTTTAAAAATTGAGAAAGAAATAATTTTTTAAACTGAAAAAGAATATCTTTCCTTTCCGTTGCAGCGTTTTATTTTCACTTTTACGAGATTGTTAAATTTTCATACACCTCTGTATATTCCTGTTACCTTATTGCACAATTTTCATACTTAACAAAATCACAGTTGGAAGATAATATCGATGAGGATCTTCGTAAACACGTCTGTAATTTCGTTACTGGCATTATCGGCGTACGCTGTGGTAAAAGTAGTCGCACGCAGCCCCAAGGAATTCGAACAGAACGATTGGTGGCGTCAAAATGAAATTTCGGTCGTGATGACCTTGATCACGTACCTGTTCCCAGTATTCTTCGAGATATTGGGTTTGCTCGAAAGCTATCATCCCAGGAAACAACTGCGTATACAGCTTGCACGGTGAGCTCGTAAAACTCGCCACTTTCTGTACGCTGATCACTCGAAGGTATTATCAAACTTTCCTCCGGTTTATTGCAGAATAATGGTCCTGAATTTGTTGAACCTCTATTCACTGATATTCGCGTTGTTCGAGAAGATCAATTCAATGGTAGGTGAATGGTATATTCGTCGAAATATCAAATGAACAGCAGTGCTCGGTTAAATTGTAAAAATCGGGTCCGCTCGGTACAATTCTCGCGAGCAGAGCAGTAGCGTTTTCGTTTCACGACGAATCGCCACGAAACACGTTAAACGAAGTATCGGTCCAATATTGTAATGTTGCAGAAGGAAGATTTTATGGAGCTTCAACCAACGACGATAAATTGCACTTACAAGTCTATCGAATGCAACGACGATATGAAGAAATCGCAAAAGTTCGTAACTTTGGCGTCTCTGAGTCTGATTCTGGCGAGTAATGTCACTGGAGTGCAGCATAAAAGTGAAACTCCTGAAACAAGTATGTTTTATCATGTTCAACAGCCTTTAGTAGTTCAACAGTCTCTTTAGTATTCTTTGTTTCGTTAATTTAGCATTGTCCACGTTATCGCTGATGCCTGAAAACTTATTCTTGAATCCGATACTCGATGAAAAATCGTTGGAAGAGATATACAATGTCGGCGACTATTCTCTGGATTACACGTATAACAATTACGACGAAATGAATACAAATGAATTCAACGAAACATTGTTCTTTCCTGTCGAAAATACAACTGAAGAAATTCATTCTACAACGGAAGTGCTTGAAAGAAACGACACATTTGACACGAGTACTATTTTTACCATTGATGAGAATTTCACTGAAACTATTTTTTCTGATTTAAATGAAGAAATGAACGGTACCTCTGTGACGAGCGTTTTCTTCAACGATTCCACGGTTTACGATGAGACAACAGAGGAGACAAATAACGACACAAGTACAGACACCACTGAGAACACCATAAATGAAGAATTCAACGCAACTTCTTTCATCGTAAACACCACATCTACAGACATGAGCACGTTGGATGAATATTCGATGATTACAACGTTAAATACAAGCACCGAATCGACAATAATCACTACTATATTCACGGAAGAATCTAGCATAGAAATTACCGACAAGATGTCCACCATTGATAGTTCTTCTTCGACGCCGTTACACGAAAGCGTGATTCCTCTGGCTGACAAAGATTATACGGTGAAGTGTTTCGAGAAGATTTGCACGACAATTACTCAAGATACAAGTACAGGTGAAGTATCATTTACACATTTATCTAATTGAAAAGGAAATCGATCGTTAGTATTAAAAATTTTACTCGTTCGTTTTCATTTTTTTCACAGCTTCTTCGTTGAAATTGTTAGACTTAAAAACTCGGAAAAAGCTTCGTAGTTTGTGCTGGGAGACGATGTTTGGCCAGGAACTTGCTAAACTCACCGTCATGGATTTGGTAAATTTATTTTTTAACATTTTCCTTCGTTTCAATGTACAGGATGTCCCATCTACGATAAGAATGTAAATTATTTACGCTACTAGCGAAAGAGAGAATGATCAAAGATGTTTATAATAAAAAAAATCCCTCAAGATTATTCCAAGATCATTGACACTTTTTTGTATATTAACACACTTACTTCTCTCTTGTTCCATTACTCTTACATTGTTTTACTTTTAATACATTTTTTTTTCTATTCGAGGTTACTTCAAGATCATGATTACTTCAGTATGGAACAAAAAAATTGGGGAAACTTTTTTTATCATTACCAAATGTCGTTCTGTCTTACTTTCTATAGCAGTAGTAATAGCGTGGACGTTCATTATAAGCGAGACACTCTGTATACTTCTTTATTCGTAATTTCAGGTACTCATCACACTGTTCACGCTCGGTTTAGACTTCTTCCGCGCGCTTTTCGTGCGTTTTATGAACAGCTGTTGGTGTTGGGATCTCGAGAAGCAATTCCCTCAATACGGTGACTTCAAAATAGCCGAGAATATTCTTCATTTGGTGAACAATCAGGGAATGATTTGGATGGGTATGTTCTTCAGTCCTGGATTGACAGCGTTGAATCTACTGAAACTTGGTATCCTGATGTATTTAAGATCCTGGGCTGTTCTTACTTGCAACGTGCCTCATGAAGTCATTTTTCGAGCGTCTAGGTAATTGAAAAGTTTTAGTCTATTTTAATTCCATTTTGTACAACTTTAATTTTATATTGAGTATTATTATTCTTGTAGGTCCAACAATTTTTACTTCGCTTTGTTGTTGACAATGTTACTTCTGTGTGTTCTACCTGTTGGCTATGCCATAGTCTGGGTAGAACCATCTTGGCACTGTGGTCCATTCTCAGGTTACAAGAAAATTTATCATCTGGCGACGGAGCAACTCACGCATTCTCTTCCTGAGCCAATTCAAAGGTAAGTAACGTTATTCGTCAACATCGTAACATCTTAGAAATTGTTAAATATTTTTTATCCGAATCTTTTTGTTGTGTGATTACTTTTAGGTGTCTTGATTACATTGCTTCACCAGGTATAGTGATCCCACTAATTGTCCTGATGATTCTCATCATTTATTACATGGTTTCGCTTACTGGCTCTTTGAGAGAGGCTAATAACGATTTAAAGGTGATAAAACGAAGGAATGAATTCATTTGACGTTAGAAAAATCAGTTGTTTATCAATTATTATCGTCTTTCAGATACAATTAAGACACGAGCGCACAGAGGAACGGCGCAAACTATTCAAGATAGTCAAGAGAAGAGAAGAATTGACCGACTCGTCTTTTGTAAAGTGGAAAAAAATGCTACCAGCTCTCTCCAAAAGATCAGCAAAAAGTAAAGCCTCGAAAAGTAAGCGAAGGGTTAAATTTAAATCACACGATGTTCGTTAAAAAAAGATGATAAAATTACAGATGAGACGGAATTCGTGGAAAATCCAGTTGAAATGCACGAGGGCGGGAGAAAACGTTCAGTATCAGAAGTGGTGGAATTGACGGATGTGGAACAGGATATAATACCGCATGATCAGTCGCAACAAACGATTTCTGAAAGTAGTTACAACGAAAGAAGGCCAATTAGAACCAGGTATACGTTAATTATATATTATTTCATTACAGTAAATTGAAGTATATATTATTAACCATTGAAGTGTTGCAAGTAGATTGACAAAGGTTTTCCATGACTCCTGGGAATCACAATCCAGCGACTGCGCCATAATACCAGAGATTCGCATAAACGAGGCCGAGGGAAAATCACAGTGCCATCCTGATTCAGCTTCTACAATAGACCATAATGTAGATGAAAATAAATAAATTGCCCATACCGATGTTTTAATACTGAAACGATTTATTCGTCCGTTTTATATTAAGATTTCACAAAATCTTGATTCACCATGATAAGAACCTAATCTTAAAATTAACTTCTTACACTCCAGACGAGGTATAAAATCGAAGACATTCGCATAGAGAAGTTTAAAAAGCTTTCACTCATCCTCCTAACACGTACACGTACGAACACATCCACACGAGACATTCACTTGCTAATTACACCTAAAATACTGACGATCCACGCGGATCGATTAATCGCGCGTGGAGTGACCCGTTATCCGACCGTGTTAATTACTCTGGTGTTACTAATAATAGGAGGAATCGAACCTTTCTACATTCCATGACATTCTCCTCTTATACACAAATTTCTACAATTAAAAGACACGCGTTTCCTCCTGATTAAATATGAATTATAAATGATATGCATCCGCAATTACATTTTATTATTCCCCAATCACGTAGAGAATGTTTGTTTTTTTATTCTACAAATTATTAGATACAAAATTTATCCATACGTCGATTGAGATAAGCTTTAAGTATTAGCGTTATACTTGGTAAAAGTGTTTCAGTGTGATCGTAAAATCGATCAAGCATCAAAGTACATGTAATCACACGAAACATCAGTTTCAGTGAGATAAGAAACTCGAACCTCGTTCAGGGCCATTTTACGTCAATTCAGAATTGATTCTTCTGTTGTGATATATTTTAAAAATTTGTTTGCGCCTCAATCTTTGACAGCTGGAAATTAATTTTTACCAATGCGACAATTACTACCGATCAGGTGAAGAAAGCTTAAAAAGATTCGAAGCAGACGTTTCAAATATCAATTCTGGGTGCGGTTACATCAATCGATTCCGCAGCTTAACGTTTTGATTTACGACCGCACTAAAGCAATTTCCATCAAGTATACTTTGCTTCGACGTGTCGTTAAATGCAATTATGTTCGATCTTCGTTTCCAGAATCTTACCGATTATGCTATCTATTTAGTAACGCGGTGCGCGTCGTTTATGGTACAATAAATATTAAGAACACATCATGAAAGTGGTTAATCGATCAGTTATGTTATCGACCTAGTCTCTACCCCATTAAATACCATTGTTTCGTACTAATTTACAATAGAACAAGAGTCGTTTGATTTTCTTTAAAAATCATGATCTTTTGTTCGAGAACTACATAGTCGTAGGACCTACTCTCACATCTGAGACTAATTCACGCGTATTTCAGCCTTTTACATCCAGTACCCTCGAGAAACATAAATATCTCGCCGCTATATCGTCAGAGTTTAAAATACACTGAATACGTTCGTCAAATAAAACCATCGTTACTGTCGTTCGTATAACAGAACTGTTACTATTCATTGCGAAACTCGTTCAGAACACTCCGTCGTCCATCGTTAACGACGAGTAACGAAGATACGATGTATCCTCGTCTGTATCGTGTGAAAACTGTCATCGTTCGTTCAGATTCGGATTGTAGATCGGTCTGCTGCTTAGGAAGTTGTTCCCACTCATGGGACTTGTCCTGACTTGCATATACTTCGGCCTTTTGCGTCTGGTGCTCCAATGCAGATAGGTGTACCAGCTTGACACTATAGCTCCAAGGGCGTTGCACGTGGAGGAGAAGATCAAAAGAATGGTTAAAATACTCTCGACCTCTGGGCAATTCAGATCCATGTATTTGACGGCGGTTTCGGTGGAGTTTGATACGTCTTCGCGGGGCCTGCACACGCAGGTAGCGTTCAGTACGCGCGCTGGGTTGCATTCCAAGCCCATCAGGCGTGCCAGGTGCATCACTGAGAATACGCAAGCGACAGAGCAGGTCACTGTTGCCAGCATCGCTAGTAACACGCTGATTACCTATTTCAGAAGAAAACAAAATAGTTAAGAAGAATATTAAAAGATATCAATATTATTTTTATTTAAAAATTTTAATAATATAT